ATTGGGGAAGGGGAACATTGTGTTTTTCCAGGACCCATCAGCTCCAAGTCAAGTTGTTGTCCTTCAATCTTAGTTATGGAGGGTGCAATCTCAGCTCCAAGTCCAGTCGCCACTTTCAATCTAGTTGCGGGTGGAGGGGAAGGCGGGAAGGTAGGAGGGGGTGCAGCCCACCATCCCATGCAGGAGTCGAACCATCAACCTTTTTGTTAAGAACACGCGCTCCAACCAACTTGAGCCATCTGGCCACCCGTAGGCAGCTCGCAGCTGCTCAGCTCAAGGTGCCGTGTTCCATCTTAGTTGCGGAGGCGGCACAGCCCACCATCCCATGCGGGAGTTGAACCGGCAACCTTGTTGTTAAGAGCACACGCTCTCATCAGCTGAGCCATCAGGCCGCCGGTTGGCAGCTCAGAGGCAGCTCAGCTCGGGTGCAGCTCACTGCCCCATGTGAAAATCGAACCAGCAACCCTGTTGCTCAGAGTTCGCACTCTAACCAACTGAGCCACTCGGCCGGCCCCTGCACCATAATTTTTGTAGTCAGTCTCCTAATGGTGGACATTTAGATAGTTTCCGGTATTTTGTTGTTAGTAGTAAGTACCCATATCATCTCACACAAGTGCAAGTATAACTTTGGATGCTTTCAGGAGTTGATTGATCAAGGAGTCAAAACTTGCTATTTTGATAGTGATCTCCACCTCTTCTTAGAGGTGGGGTCATTTTATTGCCCACCAGTAAAAATGTACTCCCTGTTTCCACACATCCTCACCAGCATTGTGTTATCACTTTTACCTTAGCTAGTGTGATATGTGAAAATGGTATCTCACTGTGGTTGTCACTTGCAGTTCTCTTGTTATGTGTGAAGCTAAACATCCTCCTCTTTGACCTTAGGTGCAGGTGGTTGAGTAAATCATAAACCATTCTCACTTCAGGTATATTGCTATCATTGATCTCTGCAAGCCTTCCTCTTGTTAGATTTGTTTACTCCCTTTTTAAAAATATGCCCTTTGTTTATCTTTTTTTTT